GTCTTCCATAAAATGTGCTGCACACATCTGAATATTTGGGTTGAAGTGTTCTGGAACAGTGTTGTAAATACAACTTAACCACTGATTTCTAGTTGTGACCTCTTTTGGAAGACTAAACAAAATAGTTTTGCTTTCACAACGAAACACACAGCATGGTGCAGAAACCTTCACGACATGGCGGCGGCAACAACAATACTACAGCGAGAATAAAAGTTATGCCTTCTTTCTTTGCGTGAACATTTGGGCGGCGTTATGCAAATCTTCCCACATCGTGATGTAGATATGTGGGGGCGTGTTAGAACGAGGCGTTTTAGGTAGGTGTGGCTGACTCTTAACTTTCATAAAGAATATCTCTTTGGATTTGAGACTTTAGTCTTTGCAACTTTACAGATCTTCTTTATGCACCAAGAGCTTGTAACACTCCAAAGAGAAAGGAAAAATTTAAATTGCATCATATGACCCCTTTAAATTTACAATAATGTATTTATAATAATGTCCTTTAAAAAGAAAGTTCAACCAAAATGAAAATTGTCATTATTTAAAATTTCGGCATCAGAATAAAAAACAAAACGCTAATTGTGACTTTATCTCCCAATTACAACTTTACATCTCTTCATATGTTAGATATGTTTGTGGTCAGTAATTTTTTACAGTAATTGTTTAACATTTTTTAAACAGTAGTTTTTTTTGTTTGTTTTTTTAAAGAAACTAATTATTCAGCAAGGATGCATTATATTGATCAAAAGTGACACTAAAAACATTTATAATGTTACATGAGATTTCTTTTTTAAATAAATGCTGTTCCTTTGAACTTTTTATTTAACAAATAATCCTGAAAAACTGTATCCAGATTTCTAAAAAATATTAAAGCAGCACAACTGTTTTCAACATTGGTAATAATAAGAAATATCTTCTTATTGAGCATCAGCATATTAGAATGATTTCTGAAGGATCACGTGACATTGAAGACTGGAGAAATGATGCTGAAAATTTAGATTTGTATCACAGAAATAAATGACATTTTAAATAAATATTCTAATAAAATACAATAGTTCACAATATTAATGTTTTTATTGTTTTTAATGAAATAAAAGCACTTTTCACTCATACATCTTCCAAATGTGTTTTTTTCTGAGTGATGCCACAGAATAGCCATTTTGGGTTCCCCAAAGAACCTTGCATGTTTTTCTTAGTGTGAAGAACATTTTAATAAATCGAAAGAACATTTTATGTAATGGAAAGTTTCCATGGATGTTAAAATTTCTTCATGGAACCATCAATGCCAATAAAGAACCTTTATTTTTAAGAGTGTTAGGCTTCTTTCAAAAACATGGAAAAGGTGGATTGGATGTACATGTGGGGAACATAATAGAATTTTCAATTTCTGTGTTAACTACTCCTTTAAGTGTAAAATAAAATGCATTGGTTTAGAGTGCTAGGTTTAATTTATAGTCTCATTTCTAAAAGACCATCATTTGCTGTGAACTATAAACTTACTGATGTTAAGTTGTTGTATGTGTGTGCACTTTGCTCTTGTCAGTGTTCCAGCAGGAGTACGGTTCTTTACTGGGCTCAGAGAGAGCAGCTTCATCGGGTCTATTCCCTGGCCAAACCCCACAACCTACAGGTACAGAACACCCATGCCATTAGAGAAATGTTGACATTTGAAACATTGTCGGGTTAGCTTGCCATATGTGTATGTATGTATGGTGCACAGAATGAGCGGTCCAGAAGAACCTGCCCCGTTCCGCAAACCTCAGACTGACACATCAGTCCAGAGCAAGGTGAAGGGGCAGTGGCTTAAAAACAGTTATGTGTGTAAGAGAGAGCCACAAAGCTGACCTTAACGTTCCCAATGGAGAAGGGATTTCTTGGAGATTTCATGAGCTTTTTGCTTTGTGTGTCAAGAAAGAGACCCTGATTTGACAGAAGTTTGACAGTGTTTGACAGTGTTTGTGTGAAGCGCTCGAAGGCAAAATGTCTATTAGGGCTACATAGCCCAGTATATGCTTTGAAATGGATTAAAACATTCTCAAATGCAATTTTCACTATAGCCAAATATAAGTCATAGTAGTAATTCATTTTTACCTACATACAACTAATTGCTGATTCAGAGTGTTAACCTGATTTAGTTAATCAGAACTGGTTCACAAAAAATTGAAGATCAAATCATAAATGCTTTTGAAATTTTGAGACAAGGATGGATTGAGAAACTAGTCTAAGTAAGCTCACTGGGCACATAAAAAGCTAATAAATCTTTGCGTTCACAATATTGCTTAATTTTACATTACCAGCAAAATAATTGTGAATATACATTATGTTGTGTTCTAGTCATTTTGACCAAGAGATGATTTTATTTTTCCTGAAAATGCTAGTTAATGTTTTCACATTGGGCTAAAAACCACAGGGTAAAAAAAAAAAAAGATGATTTTTATACTTTCTTGGGATTTTTTCCCCAAGTTTGTCACACTTGTGGTGTTCCCAGTCAAAAATCACAAACAAAAAACAAAACAAAAAATTGCTTTAAAATTTTAATTATGCAATATTATTACCAAATATTGGACTCAATCTTTTTGTTAAATTGTTTTCTTTCGATTAGCACAGGTTTTGTTGTTTTGTTTTTCTGGAACTGACTGGCCTCATTGATTTGAGCTTATGCACCTCGGTTTTTAAGTAAACACTGACAAAACTATAAACAAATAATGATTTTTCACTCAAAATCAGTGACATCTTGATATACTTCACACTCTCAAACTCTGTTTTTACAGCAACACAAAAGCTACTTTATCACACTCATATAATCTTCATTTCAAGTGAAGACAAACACACACATCCACCATATTTCTCACAATTTCAAACTCTTTACCTCCAGCAACAAAGACTTAGCAGCACAGCTGTCCATCCACTTCGTTATAGCCCTCGCTCATGCCCGCTGTCTCGGTGTAATAAAGAAAAATATTTGTTGCTAAAACTAACGATGATACTAAAGACATTTCCTCTTTGAGGGGTCCATCAGCACTTAATGCCAACACAGACTGATCAAGATGGATCATGTGTCTTATAGAGCAGAAATGGTCTTTTCCCAGCAGAAACCGAGCTGATGATGGTGGTGTCATTTCAAATAAGAGGAAGGGTGACATGATTGTCCAGGACTGATAAATCAAAAGTACACTGGGCTGTACATCCATCATTCTGTAATCAGACTTATTCTCAGTAATGAATTCATTGCTTCTTGTTTAGCATTTATCTTAATGTGATTTGAGAGCAACAGGAGTTCAAGGGGTAGTTATAAAATAAATATTGAGCCACAAATATGAGTTGAAATGTTTAAAAAAAAAAATATATATAATAATAATGCAAGTATGCATTATTACAAGTGACATCAAAAAGACATTCAAAATGTTACAAAAGATTTATATTTCAAATAAGTGCTGTTTTTTTTTTACTTGCATTCATCAAAGAATCTTAAAATGTACCCGTTTCCACAAAAATAAGCAGCAAACGATAATAATAATGTTTTTTGAGCATCAAATCATTTGAATGATTTCTGAAGGATCATGTGACTCTAAATATACTCGCTGCTGCCATCACAACAATAAATTACATTTTAAAATATATTAAAATAGAAAACAGTTATTTTAAATAATAATGATAATAATAATAATAATTCACAATATTACAGGTTTTATTGTATTTATCAAATAAATGCAGCCTTGGTGAGCAGAAGAGACTTCTTTTAAAAACATTTTTCTTCTATTTTAAAATGAATCGGTGGTCAGTGTTGCCAAGTCCGCGGTTTTCCCGCAGAATTGGGCTACTTTAACACTGTTGCCGCGGGTTGTTTTTCATGTCCGCGAGTTGAAACGACCCCAATAACGTGATATTTAGCGCCTGGAATGCAAATTTTACCAGGGGAACCCCACCAAAACGTGTATTTTATCCTCGGAACGCGATTTTTAACGGGGACCCCCCCAAAACGCGATCGGGCTAGTTTTGAGTAGCGATTGGGCGGGTTTTGTTGTGGAAACATGGCAACCCTGTCTGTGGTACATGAGTAATTTAAACTGACTTTCAAAACCTGGATTAATTTACATTAGTGGATGATAACGAATTTAGAAGGCCACTCAGGGGGCCTAGCTTGTTGATACGTGGGCCCCGGACCTTGTCCCCTGTTAGAACCCCTCCCGTTTGAGCCATTTAAGTGATAATCTGATGACTGACAGATTTGTTTTTTGACATCCCATGTAGGATCTCCATACTACTATAGCGCAGCCACACGGGGAGCAGGAACGGCTGCCACAGCGACTGCCACCGCCTATGACCGCCACTGACCAGCCCGACAGAGGAGAGGAGGAACGAAAAGAAATAGGAGTGAGAATGGATTGATAGCACCCACACAAGACTGCCTACATAAGAAAGAAAAGAAGTGTAGGAGGAGAAGGAAGGAGAAAGAAGAAAGAAAGAAGGTGACAATGTTTTCCTGCCAATTACAATCAATGGTCCAATCAGTAGCTTCAGCCTAAGTGTCTAATTTCTGTTCATTAGTGGAAAGTACACACCCTGCATTCCTGTGGTCTCAGCTCACACTAAATCTGTTATTGCTTTGATTTATCTTCTGTCATTAAAGCCTTGCTTATCCTATCGTCTTTGCATCTCTATGCAGTCTGTTCTTGGAGATGATCAGGTGTTGGGAGTTGGTTCCAGACAATCTACTAGTGGCAGCTTGAGATGACCTACATGCTTTGAGTCATTTTATTAACTGTGTGAATGTGGCATCATAGTCTGTGGCAGACTAAAACCATGAATTGTTTTGGAGAGAACCTAACGTATCAAGTGAACGGAGATTTAATAGAGTTGGACAGATAACTCAGGTCGGAATATTGGCATTATTTACATTCAAATTAGCCAGCGTGAAGGACAGACCCATTTTGCTATCGATCATGGGACGCTTCCACTTGAAAATGTATCGTAATTACGGTAGAGATTTTAATGGAAGATGCTGAAATCTGCCCTGATGAGAAGCACAAGAATATTTGAGCCCTCAGTTCTAATCTAGGAGCAATTTAGATGTAACAGACTCCTTATAAACCGAATTACATGCAAGTTTAGCATTAGCTGCGATGCGACAGCTAAACAACGGGACTGTTGTGCGATTCAGTCATTGTGTAATATGTTGGAAAATAGCAGCATGATTTAAATATTTAAGCACTGTCGTCATGAATGAGAGCATCAGTATTTTAAAGACTCCTCTCCTTCCTCTATGTAGATAAATATTATTTACGTATGTACAGAATACCCTTATTCAGCTGTACATTAGTAAGATTTATAGCTATTTATGATGGAGAGTAATATATATCATTGTGTGTAAAAGTTTACTGTGGACAAATGCTACTGCTAGCTAAAGATGTTGCCGTGGAATACCTAGCCGGTTCTCTTTTTAAACCCCTGATGTTTCATTCCAAACACAAATCAGTTGCAATCAAAAGAGATTGCTGACATTGAAGCACCGACAAACTTTTGTAAAGTCGCTCCATTTTAGAAGGGGAAAACCGTTAGCGATGCTAATTCTTCCCTTACAGGAAGTGATGTCATACTGTCTGTCCCTTCAAATGGTCTCCTTAGCCTCCCCAAAGATGCTCTTCAGTAGTGCAAATAGATGCTCTTAAAAGCACAGTGACAAATCTGTTATCCAGAAATGGCTTTTTTATTTTTTGTTCACACTCGTTCTCTCTGAGCGCATTTGTTTTTATTCCCTTCATCCATACTGCGCCAAGACAATGCATGAGACCAAGGTGGAGGCCTTACCAAACTCTCTATGTAGCAACATCATGCTGTACATCCTTCCTGTTTGTCTGTCTGAGATATCCTGTACATCTATCACTTACAATGACAAGAGCTTTTGATATCATTATTGACCGATATATTGCTATCTAAATTTAGATTCTAGTAGACGAGGAAAGACAAAAGGTGTGCTTTATTTAGCTATTGTCTGTGATGAGTGTTCCCAGTTTTTGATTTTCTTGCTTTTTATTTCGATACACTGTGCATTGCTGAGTAGCTTTCGAAAAAGGAGAACACTGTAGTTTTAGAAGTGAGTCACAAGCACCAAAACTTTGATGTGAAATAAGAAAAAAAATGACAAACCTATGAATATATATAGAGAAGTTGATCGTTTTTATGTTTTTATGTTGTTGCTCTGGACTGTAAAGTAGTAATAGGATTACATTTGTTTGTGGATCATAAGTTGCACGTTATGCAACTCTAAAGAAACCCTTGATGCCGTTCACCACTAATGACTACTGGTGAACTTTGACCTTTTAAACTTTTAGTCAGAGGCATTATGAACCTGAAGTACACCAGCTGAAATCAAGGACAGTGCCTTTATTTTTCTACCGAGTCATCCAGAATGACCACGCGTCACTAAATTGCAAAATTGTCTGCATTTCAAAATGAGATCACAGCTTGACCGACCAATCAACGAACCGATGCCACTACCCATCATTTTAACAGCGTTTTTTACATGCTAGTAATTTTACAATCTTATTAAAACTCAGCAAGTAAACTACAAGCGAAATATGAAATCCATTTTAATCAATTTAACATCAAATTAGATATGATTATCAAATATAAAACACTGACCTACTATATACACAATATTGTACTGTTACCACCCACCACCTTTGAAATAGAAGTTTATGCTATAAACTGATTTAATATGATTCAATAAAAGATTGTCGACTAATTGCAAATTTATTAGCACATATTCTGAGACCCAAACGTTTTTTTTTTTCCTCCAATGATATGACAGGGTACTGTAATCTCCTGAGGGTAGCATTAATTCCATTCTCTTAAAGGAAATGTTCACCCAAATATGAAATTTTACTCATCCTTTACTCGCCCTCATGTCGTTTCAAATAATTTCATTGGACCACTTTGACTTTCATTGTATATAGACAATAAAAAAGGTACAATCAATTTTTCAAAATGTCCTCTTTTGTTCCACAGAAAGAAGGCATGTATACAGGTTTGGAATGACATGAGGGTGATTTTGGGTGAACTGTCCCTTTAAGTACTGAGAATGAATATTAGATTAACTGTGAAGGGACTTCCTGTTGGATTAAAGTAGAGAGACACAAATGAAACACACACTCGCAGTCCTTTTGTCCTTCGTCAGGTCGCGAATATGCCACACCTCTTCACTGACATGATCAAAACCTGCTGCACCAGCAAAATCGAATACCCCTTTCTCTTTTCCCATCCCCTCTTATTTCAATTTCTCATTTCCACCCCCACCACCATTGAACTCTATTTGCCTCACTGGTGCACCTTTAATCTCATCAGATCTTCCTAACCCCTTCCTCCAATGCCATCCGGATTAGAAATTCTACAAGTTGGCCGTTGATCACCTTTGTGAAAATCCTCAATTTTCTTTGAGAAGGTTGTGTAATTAAAAATTCATTTTATTTAATGTTTAATTGCACATTTTAAGTTATAAACAGCTTGCATAAAACAAGTTCAGACAAGTTTAATTAATTAGTCCTATTTTTTCTCATTCACTCTCATTCACAAAAAAAGTGGCAAAATAAATACCTGGCTTCCAATAATAGTTTAAAACAAAGTAGTTTACTCTCTAAATATGGTTTAGTAATGATTCCATATTTAAAATATTTCCAAAGTAAAGGCTGTGTGTCATAAATGAAACGCATTCATCCACTGAACAACCCTCAATTAGTTGTTAGCGTCCCACTGTTTTCCTCACTTCAAATCAAAATATCAGAATATGTGAGTAAAAGGCTATTTGACTTCATTTTCCAAATAAGCAAAATCTGGTTTACCATTCTAAAACGGGAATATTCGGTAATGTATTGATTCTAAAAGTGGTACGTCCACATCAACATGACAGGTTTCCCAACGAGAAAAGCAGACTTTTAAAAAACAGAGGACTTGGTTGTCACCTTATTGTGGCCTTCTGTGTACAATCGGAAGCTCCTTCTGTAGTTTCTTTCCCAAGGGGTTCATAAGTATTTTTACTCCGTTTTTGAAGTAAAGATTGAAGATTTTAAGAACGTTTGAAACATTTTGACGAATTTGATAACAGCAATCAGTTCAATTCAAATGAAAATGAAAGAAAAACAAATCAGACCAGTAACACATCTGTAGCATCCACCTAAAGTTAGAGATGCCCGGTTTGAAAGTATTCTGTGGTGATCATTGCAAAAAATACTCAAATTATGAAATAACCAACATGACAGAAAGATGAAGGCAATAGATATTTGCAACGAGTAAATGAATGAACTGCTTCTTTAAGAAATGTGTATGTTTTTTATTGAATTTTCTAGTAGTAAAAAAATCTTGGTGTTTTTCTCTGCGTGTCGTGTGTTGTCTTAATATTTGAATGTATTTACTGCGAAACAAACTTTGCCAAAGATATCATGCCGCTTGAGTTCAATCGATTTGGTTCTTCATGACTTATTTCTTCATTTGATTAAAATCTGTCCACAAGCTGGAAATAAGTGTGATTTGATTTTGATTTTCTAATGGAACTATATTGTTATTGTTATATTATTATTGTTATTATTTCTTTTTATTATGCTGATGATTTTTGTTTGTTTGTTTTACTGTTGTTCAGGGTTATTCAATTTTCTGGCATTCCTCCTAATTCCTGATACAGGGTCATAGGCTACTCTGTGTATGTGCATATGAGTGAATGTTGTTTGTGAATTATCAATTTACGTATGTTGTAATGTGAAACTAAGAAGTAATTATTTGTAAATATTGGCCATAATTTTATTGGTTCATCAGAATAAAAGTAATTTTTTAAGTTCACACGTTGTATTAGTATTGATCAAAAAAGCTCGACTTTCATCACAATGGTCTTACCCTAATTTATATAACTTTGAGGACCAATTCTCACTATTAACTAACTGTTGACTACGAATTTTGCTTTAATAAACACCTTATTTGCTGCTTATTAATATTTAGTAAGTTAGTAAAGTAATAAGGTTTAGGTATGTGGTAGGATCAGGGCCGTCCTTAGGGGGGTGCAACTGTTGCAGCAGCACCGGGCCCCGCAGCGAATGGACCGAGGGGGAACAAGCAGAAGTTTTTATTCTGGAAGTGAACTAATCCTTTAACATGGGGTGATAATGGACCACAAGCTGCAATACAACAGCAGTACCCCCCCCACACACGAAAAACAGCTTCAGCCCAGCTGGATACACACTCAGCTCCAGCTGGGATTTGGTCACGTGCCAGTTTACCATGTCTTGCACACACATTCAGTAACGGTCTTGGGTCACTGCCCAAACACCTAGTTTGCCAGGTTGGCACTTGTGATATTTCGGCTCTTGGGTGCATTCCCAGATTAGGAGAACAGTGGCAAACTGTGATTTCTGCAGTGCTTGAGTTTCAGCCAGATAACATGATGAATGAGCACTTCAAAGCAGAGGAGTTCCTCAGGTGTGTACATTTGTGACTTTGGATACAGTGGATCACTCTCTCCTAGCAGCACTTTCAAAAGCTCATTATCATCTGGAAATTACTTGCCTAAAT